GTGCCTCCTTCGCTAGCCCTGGCTTCTACTCAGGCTGCCCCAACATTCCTAGTCTTCCGGAGAGAGCCCCTTATCTGTCCCCATTACTGCTACTCAAATGTCCCCAGATTAAAAAGAAAATTATTCTAGTGGCAACTCTCAGCTCAGGTTCATTCTAGTTCTACACCAGGGAGGAGCACCCGTGCTGACCCAAGTCGCCTGGGCGTGACCCCGGCCCCCCTACCAGCTCAGACTCCAGACTTTATTGTAATGTCTCAAAAATATGCAAGGCTTGCGAGTGCATAATTCTCTCGGCCTTTATTGACATCAAACAAGGGACATCAGGGGGCCTGCAATGCTTGGTCTTAACTAGTGTTCTCACTGTCAAAATTCTTATTCTCAAGTTTTTCTTCTTGCACCCCGGCCCCTCCCCCGGTCTAGGCAGTGTTGTTCTAGGGCTAAATAATTCGGCGACCTCCCCTTTTCATTTGCTCATTTCCTGAGGTAAGGTTGTCTGGGTCCTGTCGCTCCAGTTCAGACGTCCAGATTTGGCTCAGACAGACTCAGTTCCTCCTCACTGTCTGTAAATCAGCATTGTTAGCCTCTTTACCATCTTTGACTTTCTGATCCTGGCCAGAAAGGGGTGGGAGTGGGGGTAGGGAAATAAATCCGTGCTAGGAGTTGCACTCCCCCAAGACCTCTCAGCCTTCCTTCAGCTTCCCTTTGTAAGGCCTTCCAGCAATATGAAATGTTTGGATTACTACATAAATTTGTAAACTATTCCCGATGTTATCTCCGTGGCCTATCCCTCTCCCCCATGCATACTAGTAGGTATTCATTAATTTTGCTGCCTCTCGTGTTCCCAGGCTGTTTTGTTGCTTTATGCTTACACCCCCAACTTTCTCCTGAGGTATCACTTTCCCCTCCAAGCTGATATGCCAACATCGGCTGGTTTTCAATCATCTTAGCCTGGATTTAGCTGAGAGGGAAGTAATTTGGTACAGTGCAAAGTGGATATTAAGCATTTTCTCCAAACGGATAGGTTGACATTTTATCCTTGCTTGTTTTCTATTTTCCAAGACTTTCACTTTAAATTGCCATCTTTGACCAAAGTGAACATTAAGCATACTTTGTGAAAGCTACAATAACATAAAAATGTGATATTAACTTTTTTTAGTTTGTACTTTATGCTGTGTCCCACACCACCCTCCTAGATGCCCGAAATTTTTTGCCTAGATGCAATTTGGTTGAATTTAGCATCACCATGGTAACTAATGCCTAGATATTTTTGGCTGTGTAATTCTTCTTGGAGACTCAAGGCGGCAGTAGAATCAGATAAGGTTTATGTGGTTTTAGAACTTGGGAAAGGGGGTAGATCTGCCGGGTTTACTTACTGCCCATCGGTCATTTTAGCCCAATGTCAAAGGAAAGAAAAGTGAAGGCCGATTCCTCATCCTGCCCCTACCTTCCAAATTCAGTTTTTGGTTGGTCTCGGGATTTCAGTACATGCTGCTTAGGAAGACTTACTTTTTAAACCTGATGAGAAAGACCTTGTGATTCTGGAGACCATATTTTGTTCCAAATGACAGCTAGGGACATGTGGTATAATGAATACATTTGTCCCAAAAGAATTCAGGGCAGACGTTCCCCATACTTTTAATGTCAAGGGATTAAGAACTTATAAACAGTTTCCACTCTGTATGCAAAGGACAGGTCCTTTTCCAGAGGAATGATTTGTGTTGTTTTTCTGGCATTGGAGAGCAAGTGGGGGGACTGGCTGTCCCTGTCTCACTCAGCGAGAGAAACTGCATTTTTTTCAGTGTGCATCCCAAGACCTTCTGCTTGCTTCAGCACAGTACTAGTGCACAGAGCCATCCTTGGCCGCTGTGAGTCATTGGGAATATCAATGGGTAAAAACTAACTGCATGCTTAGTCCCTGCCTGGGTCACCCCCTAGGGTGAGTTAAGTCTTGGCTGTCAGAAACTGTTCTTATGCCAGGAGGAGTAAGCCATATTTATTTTTACCAGGCCTCTCAGACTTTCTTGTTTGGAGTGAGAGATCCTGAAAAGCATGCCAGAATGGGCTGTTTGTCTCCCTTTTATTGTCCTGTGGGACATGGCCCTAGAAAATTTGTAGGGAACTGCCAATTCCCGAGGGGTCTCAGAGGCTTTGGTTTCCTCAGAAACGCCATCCCCTTTCCTTCATCCTTCTAGGACAATCCAGGGAGCTGAATTTCCAAGATCACAATATTGCCTTGCATCACACCATCACTAATGACCTTTTCAAAGGAAACATGGGGGGTACAATGGAAGCAATTGAGAAATGGGCACAATTTTGATCCAATTGTGGTGGTAGAATTCTTGTAACCCAGGCATCACTCAACAATTTAATTTCTAAGTACAATTCTTCTAAGAGTGATAAAGGCCTGGAGCTTCACATTTTGAGACATCTGATCAGGGGTGAGTTTGCATGGGGCAGTATCTGTAGGCATTTTTGAAAGTGGGCACCACTGGCATATAGTGGGTTATGTGAAGCCAAGTTTGCTGGTGAACATTCTATAAGAAACAGGATACTCCCCAACAAGACAGAATTACCAGCCCAACTACTAAGTGGTGCTGAGCTGGAGAAACTATTTAATTTTTTTAACTGTGCATTGGTGTTTTGCCACTGTGAGGGTGTCAGATCCCCTGGAACTGCAGTTATAGACAGTTGTGAGCTGTTATGTGGGTGCTGGGAATTGAACCTGGGTCCTCTAGAAGAGCAGCCAGTACCCTTCACCACTGAGCCATCTCTCCAGCCCCAAGAAATTATTTTAAAAGATTGAGAACATGAGTGTGCAAATGAGCCCCCATTATCTTTGTGAAGTCACTAACTTGTTGAAAGCAATGCAAATGAAGGGGGAAAATCCTTACAGATTTTCCAAGGGTGCTGAATATGATGGCATGGCTTGCACTTGTAATCTCAACACTTGGGAAGCTGATGCAAGAGGACTGAAGAAATTTATGGCTGATCTGTGTTACATAGTGAATTCGTAGGCTAGCTTGGACTATAGTGTAAAATCTTGTCTTAAAAAAAAACCCAGAAAGATACAAAAACAAAAGAAAACAAAACTAGGAAGTGGTGGCACATACATTTAATCCCAGCGCACAGAGCCAGAGTGTGTCTGAAGGCAGCCTGGTCTACAGATCAAGTTCCAAGACTACAGCTACACAGAGAGACCTTGACTCAAAAAACAAACCACCACCACCAATAACAACAACAAAACAGAAAGATAAATGGAAAATACTGCAAGACACAATTAAAAGAACTAAGAGACTGGCCCTATAACTATCTATTGTAAGTCTATTTCTAGTATTCATTCATTTAGTAGTCTATTTAGGGTGATTTATGCCAGGTACTGTGAAGATGGTTGTGAACAGATATATTGGGGTCTCTGGAATTTATAATTTAATGGCTCAAGGGGCTGCACATTTGCAGTGAGCCTGTAAATGAATTTTAAATTAAATAATAGAGGGATCAGAGGAAAACGTGGAGCTCAATGGAGAGACCTGGTTTAGAAGTTTAAGGAAGGCCTGTTAGAAGTATTGACACTGAAAGAGTTGTTAGACAGACTGAGTATATAGCTCAGTACAGACAGACCACTTGCTTACCGTGCATGGGGCACTGGATTAGATCATAACAACAAAGAGAAAAGGGAAAAAGAAAAAAATCACCAGGCTAAGGCATGTTCTTCTGGGGCAGAGGGGACAGTATGTGCAAAGAGCCAGGGAAGAATCCATAGACTTTATGGGAAAGTATCACCAGCTTCAGAAATGGCTCAGTGGCTAAGAACACTGGCAGCTTAAGTTCAATTCCCAGCACCTACACCACAGTCATAACTATCTACAATTCCAGCTCCAGGGGATCAAATGCCCTCTTCTGGCTTCTGAGTGCACCAGGCATATATTTGATGCACAGACATACATGCAGGCAAAACATTCATATACATAAAAATACTTTTTTGAAAAATATGAAAAGTATCATAAGTAGTAATGGCTAAACTTTTATCAAGGTTTGGGGGAGGTGTTGGTTAGTTTTTTTTTTTTTTTTAATCAATTTGACACAAACTACAGTCACTTGGGAAGAGGAAACCTTTTTTTTTAAATTAATGATTGATGAGGAGGGCCCAGACTCTATGGGCAGTGCCACACTGGACAGGTGGTCCTGAGTTATTTGAGAAGGCAAACTGAGTAAGCCGGTATTCAGTTCTTCTGTGGCCTGTGCTTTGGTTTCTGCCTCGAGTTCCTGCTTTGGCTTTCCTCCACTGTAACCTACAAGCCAAAGAAACTCTTTTGTCCCCAGATAGGTTTTGGTTAGAGTTTTAGTTCAAGTAAGTGAATTGGACAGAGGCAACTACCAGAGACTGGGAACAGTGGACTTTTCAGAGGACTTTTCAGGAGTGTATTTCTGCACTCCTCCACCTGTTTGCTAGCTGAATTCATCATGGAACTGAAGATGACTTTGAACTCTTAATCCTCCTGCCTCCACCTCCCAAGACTGCTGGCATTGCAGGCATGTGCCACCATGTCCAGTTTCGGCTTCTGTGCTTCCTGGCACCATTTCCAGTGCCCGCATTTTTCCCCCTAGCTCAGCAGTGAAACTTGAGCCAGGACCTGCGGCATATGGCTGATTTTATGCTCTGGCCTAACTTGGGGCACACCCTGAAAGGTGGGGCTTTGCAGAAACATTTTTATCTCCTGCAAGCTTGATATTCACACACCTGACACAGATAACTAGAACCTTTGCAGAGAAAAGCTTGCTCATTGTAGCAACAAAGATAAAATTAGAGTAGTGGATAACTAGACCGATAAGCACATGCTTGTTTAATAGCAAATACAAATCAAAATCAAAGTAAATGGTCTTTGCTTCCACGTGTGACCCATTAGAATTTGTGTTCCATGAAGCAAGCATAGTGGTTTCTTTAAAAAGATAGTTCTAATCATGCCATGTCCGAAAACCCTAACTTTTTACATGCCTTGAGGTTCTCTATGAGCCCAACACTGCCTGCTTAGGCACTTCCTCCTCACTTCTTCTGTCGGGGCCACAGTGCCATTCCTTCAAATCTGAAGCAAGCCATCATTGCTGTCTTAGAAACTTTGCACGTGCTGTTTCCCTAATTGCATGCCAGGGCTGGTCTTAGTTCAGCCTTGCAACCTCAGAGATGCCTCATGGACTCGAACACCAGCTCCCCCCCCCCCCCCCCCCCCATTTCCTCTGAGCCCCTCCATTCTTTGAAATAAGGCTCTTCTCCTTCCACACCACTGAATAATAAGCTTCAGTGGTGTGGGATCTTATTTATTTTACTCTCTAATACCTTAGAATTGTGCCTAACACATATGGCTCAACGATTCTTTCTAGTTAAATGAACAAAAGCCAGACGGTCTGCCAAGTATGGGAAAAGGAAGAGATTAGTAAGATAGGATCCCCAGCTTCAAAGACACTCACAACCTGATGGAGAGGAAGACTTGCAAATCAGGGATCTTGTGGTGGAAGTATGTGCATACGGCTGTAAAAACAGAGAGGAGGCAATCCATGAGTGTGAGGTAGCTGGACACTGACTAGGGGGGGATGTTTCTGCTGGGTAAAGAGAGGAGATGACAGTGAAAGAGATATAATCCAGATGGGAGAGATGGCATAAACAAAGTCATAATGAATCCAAGTGGCTGTCACTCTCAAAGAATGATCAGTAGGCTTTTGTGGCTAGAAAAACCAAAGCTGCCATCTTAATCAGCTATTGCTAAAAATCGTTCCTGGATTAAATATCCCCTACACAGTTTTACTTGTTTGCTTAGTGAACATTTACAAAGTTCTTGCAAAATACAAAGTGAAAGTTTTTTTTTTTTTTTTTTAAAGATTTAAAATGTGTATTGGTGTTTTACCTGCATGAATGTCTGTGACTCATTCATGCAATGCTGGAGGAGACCAGGAGAGGGCGTCAGAGCCCTGGAACTGGAGTTACAGAAGGTTGTAAGCAGCCATACTGGTATAAGAGTACTTGGAATTAAACTCTGGTTCTCTGGAAGAACATCCCTTGCTGTTACCCTCTAGCCTTCTCTCTAGTACCAAATTTTTATTTTTGAAATCCATTTTTCTGACTCCTGGGGAGGGGGGGCGTCCGTTTACAGGTGTGTGGGTGTGCATGTGTTGCCATCGCACACATGTGCAGGTCAGAGGACAGCTTTCAGGAGTTGACTCTCTCCTTCCATCATATGGGTTCCAGGGATTGACTGAACCAGGTTGTCGGGTTTGGGAGAAAGCACATTTCTCCACTGAGCCATCTTGGTGGACTCAAGAAACATTTTTTTTTTTTTATGCAAACAGCAAGAGGTTTTATTGCAGTTGTTTAACGAGCTAACCCCATGTTAACTCGGGCCTTTCATCCATCCACCACGGCAGATGGCTGGGAAAGACGCTGAGAAACCACGGTATAGAGATCTTATAGGGCAGCGTAAGGGGAGTGTCTAGGGGTACCCACAGGCTCAGGATTGGTGTGCCTCCAGGCTTGGCCCGTGTTGATTGGTCAACTGGTTGTTATGGCCCATAGGCCCTCCCAGGGTGATTGCTATGCTCTGTGAGTCATTGCTGTGCATCAAGAAACACTTTTAAAGCATGGAAGTAACAGGGACATGTTAGAATTTTAGAACAGTAACTTTTTTTTTTTCAAGACAGGGTTTCCCTGTGGCTTTGAAGGCTGTCTTGGAACTAGCTCTTGTAGACCAGGCTGGTCTAGAACTCACAGAGATCTGCCTGCCTCTGCCTCCTGAGTGCTGGGATTAAAGGTGTGGGCCTCCAAAGCCCAGCTGCAGTCAGTGCTAACCACTGAGTCAGTTCTCCAGCCCCCATAATAGTAACTTTATATGATAATGCAAGGCTAGCTTGAGGGGACAAAATCAACACAGAGACTTCACATTTTTTTGTCTGAAGATTTGGAAGCTGGAAACCCTCAGTTCATGCCCAACATTGCTTTAATACAATTTAGAATGTCCTCTCCTTTTTCCTGAACTAGTTCTCTTAAAGTGTCTATATACAGCATCGTTCCTCCTGCCTCCATCTTCTGAGTATTGGATACAGGCATGCATCTTCCTATCTGGTTTGTGAAGTGCTGAGAATTTAACCCAGAGCTTCCCACATACTAGACAAAGCACTCTGTCAATTGACTACATGCCCAGCCCTCTGGTTAGGGTTTGATGTTTTCCATTTTTAATTTTATTATTTATTTAAAGATGGAATTACCCTACATGACCCAGTCTGATTTTGAACTCTTGGTCTCAAAGGTTACTCTGGCCTCAGGCTTCTAAAAACCTGGGACTGTAGGCATGCACCACCACAGCCAGTTAGTATCTTCCAATTTTTGGGGGGCCATTTTTATTAAATCAATTTGTTTTATGAACTGTTTGCTATGAGACAACAATAACCCAATGGATTGAATGACCTTTGTTTTTTTCAAGCTTATAATCTATAAGAAGGCTAATGAATTCAACAGCTATTTATTGTACACCTGCCTTCTGGTAAACATTGTGCACACACCTGGATGTTTAGATAGCCTTGGCTTTTAAGGAATATATATTCTAGCAGAAGACTTTAAAGAATAGCAACAACAATTACTTTAAAAGGTGAGGTGGTATGTACCTGTAATTCCAGCTCTGGGGCTGAGGCTAGGACAGTCTGAGTTCAAGGCCAGCCTGGGCTACCCAAGGAAGCCCTGTCTAGAAGGCAGAGGAAGAGAAAGAGGAGAATCTGAAATTCCTCCACATTTCAAGCTATTTGACAACATAATTAATCAATTTTTTGCAGCCTTTGAAAATACAGAGCAAGAAGAAGGTAAAAGCCTCTAATTGCTGTTGAGTTCCAGTTCAATTTAAGCAATATCCTTTACCTACTTCCTTATGAAACACTAGTAACTCTTTTCAAAAACAATTTGTTTTTATACTTTTAACTAATTCCTTATAAAATACTAATGATTCTTTAATGTGAATTTGTGTTTTGCCTACATGTATGTCTGTGTGAGGGTGCTGAATCCCCTGGAACTGGAGTTATAGACAGTATGTCATGTCAATGCTGCAACTTGAACCTGGGTCCTCTGGAAGAGCGGCCAGTGCTCTTAACCACTAAACCATCTCTCCTGCCCTACATTAGTGAGTCTTAAATACTACAACTTAAGAAAAGTTCTTTCTTTCTTTCTTTTTTATTTGTTTGCTTGTTTGTTTTGAGACAGAGTCTCATGCTGGCCTCAAAATAACAGATATCTTCCTGCCTCTGCCTTTCTAATGCTGATATTAAAGGCATGTGCCACTACACTTGACTTGAAAATTTGCTTTTATTTGAAAATTTCCCAGAACTATGGTCTGTTGATTTGTGTGGCAATTCAATACAATTAGATAGCTTTTTTTGTTTTGTTTTGTTTTGTTTTTCGAGACAGGGTTTCTCTGTGTAGCTTTGGAGCCTATCCTGGCACTCACTCTGGAGACCAGGCTGGCCTCAAACTCACAGAGATCCGCCTGCCTCTGCCTCCTGAGTGCTGGGATTAAAGGCGTGCGCCACTAATGCCTGGCTAGATAGCATTTTTAAATTTAAAAATGTTCTTCTCGGGCAGTGGCATCATGCTTAGCCTCCACTTTGCTTTGTGCAAGCTGTCTTTTAAGAAGAGCCCAGTGGCTCACATGCATTTTGTGACTTATATTTCTTAGTGGCTATTTTGCCACTAGCATCTTTCTGCTTGGTGAGCTGATTAAGAGCATATCCTCCTCCACAGTGGTGGCACACACCTTTAATCCCAGCACTTGGGGAGGCAGAGGCAGGTGGATCTCTGTGAGTTTGAGACCAGCCTGAGCTAGTTCCAGGACAGCCTCCAAAGTTACAGAGAAACCCTGCCTCGAAAAACCAAAAAAAAAAAAAAAAAAAAGAGCACATCTTAGTTTCTTGAACCTGTTTTGTGGCACAATAATTCATTTAAAAGAAACTTGCATTTCTTTTCTCCTTGCTGATTGCCTAGGTTAAAAACCATGTGTTTACTTTTTTATAGTCTTCACTCTTCTTTCTTATCAGTACCTTCTTAGTCATTTACAGCACCAAACATGGGTATTAATTTTCTTTGTGCAATGAGAAATCTTGTGCAGTAAGTAGGTTGACAAATCAGCACATGGGGATGTGAATGCTTCTCCCTTGTTTTGGGCTTGGTGTAACCATTCTACCCCACAGGAAGGATTAGTTCTATTGTTGGCCTCTTTTTATTTTTTTAGACATATATACAATGAATCTTGATCGCTTGACTCACCATTCTTCCCTCAGACGTCCCAATATGTCCTCTTCCCACCTTCATGGCTTCTTTTATTTTATTATTGTAACTCACTGAGTCTCACTAGTGTTGTTTGCTGGAATGTTGTCTGATGGGCCTTGGGCAGGGAACCGTAGCTGCAGTGAGTTCATGAGTGCAACAGCCACGTCCTGTCTAGTAGACCTTATTTCACTGCATTCTTCTCCATCCTCTGGCTTACATTTAGCAGAACAGTAGTAGGATCAGCTCCTAGGTTTATGACCTCCCAAACCGTAGTATGAGACATGAATTCCCTTCTATGGAACAGGTCTCAAATCCCATCAGTGAGTGGGTTGGTTGTTCCCATATTCTTCATGCTAATTTTGCTTCAATGGACACATCTTGCCTGGTAGGTTGGTATTGTAGCTTTCAGGGTTCACTACTGGGTAAGACCATTGATGTCCTTTCTTCCCAGGCAGCCTATGTAGCACCTTCCAATTTGTTTTATGTCCAGTCCATTCACACCACTAGTTTCTTCTCTGTGTGTGTTGTTGCATGTGAAGTACCCCTGGTTATGGGGGCCAGAGGAGGACATCAAGTATCTTCCTCTATTGCTCTTCACCTTGTTCCATTGACACAGAATCTCTCACCGAACCTGGAACTTAAAAAAAAAAAAAAGTTTTCCGTTTATGCTAGTGGTCAGTGAGCCCCAGTGATCCTATTGTCTCCACCTCTACCTACCCAGTGATGGGATTACAAGCATGTACAGGGTATATGCAACCCTCCCCAGCTTTTCTTTTCATTTTTCCTTTTTTGTACACCTAAGTCTGAGATCTGAACTCAGGTTTTTACGCTTTCTCAGCAATAGCTCTTACTGAGCCATTTTTCCCTCCACCTCTGTCACTTGCATCTTTCAGGAGTTTGGATTTATCTTTTGGTTGACTGGTTTGTCTAAGTCAGAGGTTCTCAACCTGTGGGTCAAATGACCCTTTCATAGGGGTCACCTAAGACCATCAGAAATCACAGGTATTTCCATTAACAATAGCAAAAATAGCTATGAAGTAGCAACAAAAATAATTTTATGTTTGGGGGTCACCACATATGAGGAACCATAGTAAAGTGTTGCAGCATTAGGGAAGTTGAGAACCAATGGTCTAAGTGATTTGGGTGAATTTTTAGAAATATGTTGTGATGATATAGGGATCAGAAAATCCATTTAAATGGAGGGCTGATAGCTTTTTTTTTTCACTAACATTCAGCAGGATCACAAAAAATACACCATAGAACTCTACATAGAGCACTACATACTCTTAATTGCTGAAGTACCTCTCCCACTCTCATTTCTGTTCTTAAGAGTAATGTGCATGTTTCACTGAAAAATTTCATCCTTCATGTAAGTGTTGCCAAAATCTGTTACATAATCTGTGACCAAAGAGAAATCCAAAAAGCAGTGGCTTCCTCTTGGAAAAACAAACACTATCTAGAAGGCTATCACACTTACCACTGTTTGTTTTCAGTTCGTAATAGATAGACAATTTGAAGAATATAGAAAAATATAAAGAAAAGAAATACAGTAAGTAATTCCATCACCAAAAAGGGTCAATATTATTTCTATGAAGCCCCCAATATTTAAGGCTCTAGATGAGTAGCCCCCTACCCTTTCTAGGTTTCCTCATCAATACACTGTTTGGAACACTCGGAGCGGAAGACTAGCTTTAAGGATAAGGATTGTTGGGTGGTGGTGGTGGTGGTGGTGGTGGTGGTGCACGCCTTTAATCCCAGCACTCAGGAAACAGGGGCAGGCAGATGTCTATGAGTTTGAGGCTAGCCTGGTTTACAGAGCAAATTGCAGGACAGCCAGGACACAGAGAAATCCTGTCTCAAACAAACAAAGACTGGAGAGATGGCTCAATGGTTAAGAGCACTAGCTGCTCTTCCAGGGGCCCTGAGTTCAATTCCCAGCAACCACATGGTGGCTCATAACCATCTATAATGAGATCTGGTGCCCTTTTCTCTCTGATGTCCTCTTCTGCCATGCAGGTATACATGCAAAAAGAGCACTCATATATGTAAAATACATGAGTAAACACATCTTAAAAGAAATCTTCTAAAAAGCCCAACAAAACAAAAAGCATAAGGATCCTTGGGACTTTAATAGAAGAAATGGAACTGTAGGGAAAAACCTACAAATTGCTCCAGAGATGACATCTTGTTCTTATTTAGCTTTCTTTGAGTCATTAACAGTCGGGCGCCACTGGTGCTGAAACTTATCATTATTATAACCGCAAATGGGTTAATGCCCAAACAAAGCTATATTCTTGGGGTTGATTCCCAGCTTCACCGCACAGACCCCAATAGCAGCACCCTCCAAGTCCAAGGATGATGTCCCACAAATAAGAGGATGTCAAATGTGTAGCCTGGATTCAAAACTTTCTGCTTTCATCTGGGAGCTCCCAGTCGCTGGCAGGACAGAACAAAAAGAAAAGTAAATAAATAAACACCAACCCAACAATCCCTAAAAAAAGAGATCATGTGGTTTAGTGGTCAACCCACTCGCCTGGATGTTGATATAGTTGAGATCCACTTCCAGCCCTCCCACGGAGTAGACAGATGATATTAGACAAGTCATTTTTGTGATCCATGCCTTGGTTTTCCTACTTAGAAAAAAGGGAATTGCCTTAGTCTTCGTGAGGAAGTTTCATGAGGCAAAACATATGAAATTATTTGCAAATAACTTCAGGTTGCTGGGGAGTAAGATAAAACTATCATCTGTAATAATTACCATCCTAGCATTGGTGTTGTAGCTCAGTTGATTGCTTGTCTAGCATAGGTAAGGAAAGACCCTGCATTCTATCCCAGTTCCAAATAAAATAGTTGATGGAACATGCCTATAATTTCAGCACTCCAGAGATGGAGGTAGGGAGATCAGAAGTTCAGGGTCATCTTTGGCTACCTAGTGAGTTACGGGCAACCCTGAGATATATAAGACCCTATGTTAATTTTAAAAATGTATTATCACTTTATAGTAATAAGCCCAAGTATAAAATTCATTAAATTTCAATACCCTCAACCTGCATAGAGGAGCAGTGGAGGAAGGAGAAGGCAACTATTTTAAATCAAAATTGTAAGACTTCATATCAAATACCAACCTAACAAATTAATTACCTCAGGACACTAAACACTGCCCCGACCTTGGTTCTGTGCCTTTCTCCTTACCACGTCCAGATTCAGAGTGACTCACAGGAGCCTAGAATTGAGACATACATACACATTTCAGGGAAAGGGAGAATTACAAGGTCTGAGAGGCTCCTTGTTGGAGGAAGCCAAGAATAGGCCACTCAGAACATGAGAGAAGTGCCTTCTTTTTCCTTCTCACATTAGAGGTGGTCTGCGGGATTCCTGGTCAGTCCTTTGAAGGCATAAATTTTGTTTTTTTTCTTTGTCACAAAAACCTCTCCTTTTGCAAAACATCCCCTTGTTGAAGGGGGAGGGCACTTACTAAGAAAAAAGAAAAAAAAATAAGTGAGGACCAAGTGGCTTTTCCTGCTACCATTGGATTACCATGACTGCTATGGCTCTCTTTCCTGTTTGCAGAGAGAGGAGCAAAAAGAAATATCTGGTTATTTAAAAACCGATGAATAGTCTTTCTTCTTCTAAAAGGTTACAATTTATGTAAGGGGGTAGGTATCTAATTAATGCTCTAGTTTCTGATCCATTTCCTTTCTGAAGTGTCTTTGTAGGAAAAAGGAAAGACACTTGAATATGGTATCCAATAATAAGGGATAGGAGTAGAAGTAGGGTCTAATAATTGAAAGGAATTTCAGAGGAAATGGCAGTTAACTTACAGAGAGGACTTAATGAATAGTTTTAAAAATTACATTTTACTGGGTGGGTGGCACACACCTTTTAAAACAGCCCTCTGGGAGGCAGAGGCAGGAAGATCTCTATAAGTTCAAGGCTAGCTTGGTCTAAATCAAGTTCCAAGCCACCTAGGGCTATATAGTGAGACTTCCCCACACACACACACATTTATTTGGGGCGGGGGACACGGGGAGGTCATAGAACAACTTGCAGGAGTTGGTACTCTTTTTTTTTTTTTTTTTTTTAACCATACGGGGCACCTTGGATTGTACTCAGCGACTAAAAACGGTGTGCCCTCTCACTGGGCCTTCATGATTACCTCTCCTGTCTAACCCTGTTGGGGGCTAAAAGGCACATTCCCGACCCCAAGAAGCCGCCAAGATACAGTGAGCACTTTGTACCAACTTAAGAGAGAAATACTAAAAGTGATTAATAATAGGTACCTATTAATAATAGGTAATAGGTGAGAGGTCATACATAATAATTATCATTAGGATAAACAGAAATTATGAAATCCAGAAATTGTGGATACGAGCCACTGACAGTAATTCTTCGGCATCACGAAATACTACACATTCGGAGATTCACTTCAGAGCTTTAAAACCAGTTCCTAAAAATAGGAGTTAAAAAACAAAACAAAACAAAAAACCTCCAAGCGACTGCTTCCGGAACTTGTGTGGTGGATTCCGCGTTGCCAGACGGATACTGTTTACGTGACGCCCTCTCTGCCTTCTATTTCTCCTTTGGCCGCAGGGGTGCCATGGCAACAGAGACTGGCTGTAACCTGGATTCCGGAAGCCAGAAAGCTGGAGCGTGGAAACTACCCGGTCAAAGGATGCTGAGTCCCGAGCGCCTAGCTCTACCGGACTACGAGTATCTGGGTAGGGGGCTTCTTTCAGCTTCGGAAAGGAAAGTGATGAGTTAGGGGAAGGAGTGGGGAGGAGACAGGGGCGGAGCCTGAATGGTAGTGGGTCTGGATGGAATGGGGAGGGACAGCAAGAAGGGCCTCCAGGGCCTGAGCCTGTAATGCAGGGGCAAACAAGGATGAAAAATACCATTTATGGAGTAAAGAGTGTCTGAACTATATGGACTAGCACTCAGGCAATGAGGATTGCGCTCGAAGTAGTACAATTAAGAATTTGAGGCCCTGAACAGGGCTGTTACTGATAGGTTGGTACTGGAGCTAACTTTCCATCTGAAGTGACATCAGTCATTTTGTGAATAATTTTGTCTTCATAGTGCGCTGTTATTTCGAGCTTTTCTCTTTCATTAGGCACTGTGGTAAGCATTTTGCACGCAGCATTCTTTCTTTGAACCTTATTAACAGACTTAGAAGGGGTTGCTGTTTTCTACTTTACAGATGGAAAAACTAAGGCTAAAGTGACAACTTGCAAAAGACCACACAGTTAAATAGTAGTAGGATCATATTTGCCCACTGCAGAACTTGACTCTTGACCTTGCTTTTGAGCTAAGGCTGTGGGTAGTAAGTACTGTACTTTGTTAAGCACCTTGCAATGAGTGTGCAAAGCGTTCACTTAAATGCACACATAGGCACTTAAAGATTCACAGACTTAGATATTTAGAGGAATTTTAAGCCTGTAGAAGATTGATCTAATAGCAGAGAGTTCTTTTTAACCTCTATGTCTTCTATTTAGCTGGTGCTTTTTTTTTTTTTTTTTTTTTTTGAGACAGGGTTTCCCTCTGTAGCCCTGGCTGTCTTGGGTTTAAAGACATAAATCATTGTAGAGGGCAGAAGATTAAACTGTCATAATTAATCATATGAGAAGTTGCTTCAAAATTACTTTTTAAATATAAAGATGTTTGTTTTGGGGGATGGAGAGAACTAAGTTTGGATCTCAGCACCCACAGCATGCAGCTTTTAACACCTGTAACCCCAGCTCCAGGGGATCCCAGGGCCTCTTCTGAACTCTACAGGCACATACATACACATAGCTGATACATACATACAAACAGAAATTTAAAAAAAAAGAAAGTTCCGAGACAGTCAGGGCTACACAGAGAAACCCTGTCTTGAAGACTTTTGCACTTTTTCCCACTTAATGCATCTCAAGAATAACTTCTGTGTCAGTAGAGAGCTTTGTCTTTTTTGTTGTTGTTGTTGTTTTGTTTTTTTTGTTTTTGCTTCCTTGGTTGTTTTTCAGATACTATCATATATGTCGTCCATGCTGGCCTCATATACTATGTAAACGAAGTTGATCTGAAACTCCTAGCCCTCTTGCTTGCCTTGGTCCCTGGTAGAGACCTTTCAGAGGTGAAGACCTTTCATGTTGTGGGATGGTAGGTGTGCACCAACTCCTGTAAGTTGTCATTTCTTTTAAACATTATTATTATTATTATTATTATTATTATTATTATTATTATTGGTTTTTCGAGACAGGGTTTCTCTGTGTAGCTTTGGAGCCTATCCTGACACTCACCCTGGAGACCAGGCTGGCCTCAAACTCACAGAGATCTGCCTGCCTCTGCCTCCCGAGTGCTGGGATTAAATTAAACCTTATTTTTAGCTATGTGGTATTTAGATAATTTATTTAACCAATTTTAGGTTGATAGAGAATTATTTTTAACTTTTTTTGTTTTTTGTTTTTTGTTTTTTGTTTTTTTTTGAGACAGGGTTTCTTTGTAGCTTTGGAGCCTGTCCTGGAACTCAGGAGACCAGACTGACCTCAAACTCACAGAGTCCGCCTGCCTCTGCCTCCCCAGTGCTGGGATTAAAGGTGTGCGCCACCACTGCCCAGCTAAAAATAATCTTAATAAAATCAAGCTCAGTGGGTAAATGTGCTTGCTGTTGAGTTTGATCCATGGAACCCATGTGGTGTAATGGGAGAATTGACTCCCATGATTTGTTCTTTGACCTCTACATGTACAGTGTGTCCAATGTACACTCTTATACAAAAACACTGATACATACAGACACAGAGACAACAGATGCAGACACACATGAGGAGGCCTGGGGAGAGGGAAATTGAGTAATTAAATAATTTCAAAAAACCCAACAAAATGGATGGATAGCTCCTGAGAAATGGCAACAGAGGTTGACCCTCTGGACTACACACAGCCTCTCTCTCACACACACACATATACCCACTGTGCAAACTACCCCCACACATGAAGTTATGTTCATGAAAAATAAAAATGTGATAAAACAACTTCACATTAAAACTGACACTGACTGCAGAGGGAATTGTGCTGGATAAAACTGGGATTAAAGCCAAACAACCACATTCTAGTAGGAAGTGTGCTGGGGTCAGGTGATAAAAAGTGACTGGAAGATCATGGCTTTTTACCCAGTGACAGGTTCTCAACTTTACTGAGAAAGATATGAGGTTCTGGGGCTGGAGAGATGGCTCAGTGGTTAACATATGAGGTTCTGGTTGCTGGATTTGGTCAAAAATGCTATGCTGTTGGTGACATTCCTAGAGCCCTCTTTAAGTCTGTTAAAGTAGACAGTGTGTTTCTTTTGGCCCTATCTGTAGGTAAGAAGGAAAGGCCAAGAATATTTTGATTATGGAAACAGTAGTAGAGCTGAGCATGGTGGAACATACCTTTAATTCTACACTCAGGAGGCAGAGGCAGGGAGTTTGAAGCCAATCTGTTTGTTTTACATAGAGAATTCCAGGCCAGCCAGGGGTGCATAGTGAAACCCTTCCCCCCAACCAAAAAAAAAAAAAAAAAAAAAAAAGCAAACAAATAGGGCAGAACCTGGAGGCAGGAGCTGATGCAGAGACAAAGAAGGGGTACTGCTAACTGGCTTGCCCTACTTGGATTGCTCAGCCTGCTTTCTTATAGACCCCAGGACCACCAGCCCAAGAATGGTACCACCCACAATGGACTGGGCTCTTCACCATCAATCACTAATTAATAAAATGCCCTAAAGAATTGCCTATAGCCTACACCTCTTTATGGAGGCTTTTTCTCAATTGAAGTTCCTTTCTCAGATGACTTTATAGCTAGTGTCAAATTGACATAAAACTGGAGATATAGCATAGATAATTTTGTACCTATTGCATAGCAATATCAACACCAATACTTTTGCTAAAGATTTTATATATTTTGCTCATTTACCCATTGCTCTATGAGCTGTGAAATATCTGATCATCCTAGTACCTTGTCGGTTCTTTGGATTTTTGCTATTTAAAGTGTATGTCTCAAAGGTGCGGCATATTGGTATACTGCTTCTTTGGAGAACAGAAGTTGGTCTCTTTCTAAGTCGCATAAGTGAAAGACTGATTTAGTGGCAGTGTTGATAGTCTGTGAGCAGATTCATTGTTTCAGGACACTTGAAAAATTTCAATGTTCACCAGGCGGTGGTGGCACACACCTCGGGAGGCAGAGGCATGGGGATCTCTGTGAGTTCAAGACCAGCCTGATCTACAGAGTGAGTTCCAGGATGGGCACCAAAACTACACAGAGAAACCCTGTATTGAAAAACCAAAACCAAACAAACAAAAAACGCAAAAAAAATTCAGTGTTCATGGAATTCTACTACCCACTGTCCTTGAATCCTGGATAATTGTTCCTTTGGCTCTGTTGTGTAGTTAAAAGTCCTAATCTGCATCAGGACATTCATACTTTCCTGAGCAAAGTCATGTTACTCACAGACTTCCTCATGGTTCAGCAAATTGGGTAACCACTGAAACACATTTATTTGTACCTAAGAACTAGCCCTGCCTATTACAACATGATCTCTCATAGACACATGCCGTTTTGAAGCATTCACTCTCAATGTAATGACCATTAAAAAGCCACTCCGTAGTAGCTCAGCACTGGGGCTGCTGAGCCAAGAGGATCCTGAGTTTGAGGCCAGTTTGGGCTGCATAGTGAATACTTGTCTCAAAGATTATTAAAATGAATTAATAAACAAATAATGTTTAAAAGCCATTCTTTATAGGTTAGACTATACTTCTTGCTTTAAGATTTTGAAATCATTTTTTAATTCACTTTGATTGACTTTTACAATTTACAAATTCACTTGAGTATATTGGCCTGGAAAAGAAAATACACATAGAGAACAAAATATTATAGACAGGCAAGTCTGTGGCACTCACTAAAACAAAAACAAAAATCTACAGCTGAGTACCCCTGGGAGGTACATCTAGAACCTCTCTTTAGGATTATGGAGTGGTACAGTGACACCTGTAAGTGAATGCCTCTAGGCATTCCTCTACCTGCTAGCTAGGGATTGCATTTGAGTTTCTGACTATTTCTGAAGAAAGCAACTTTTCCTCATGTTGGGTAAACTGATTTCTTTCCACATTGACTTGGTGAATTTGGAACCTATAATCCCTGCCTGGTTTAGGGTCCTAAGCTCATCAGGAAAGATGTCCACACTGGCAGTCATTGTGTTGATATCCGGCAGAAGAGAGGGCCTGGTAAGGCCCTGTGTAGACTTGAGAGATTCCCAGCCATATGAAGGCTACTTGGTGGAGGCATATGCCAACTGCTGAGGTGTGTCCGTATATCTGTTGGGTGTGGAGAACTCTAGAGCCGAAGGGAGCCTGTTCTGGACTCAGACTTACACAACCACTTAAGTGCTGACCCGAGAGTGAGTATGAGGGTGTGAGGTTCATGTCTTACTCCACCTAATTGTGGAAGTGCATGCTTTCACTTGTGCTTCAAGCTGGCTCTTCTGCTTCTGTAGAACCGGTCGGTAATGTGGTGACATAATAGCTGTCTCTAGGAAATCAGAAATCAGAGTTCGCACTCCTCCTTTGAGGGTCTATGTATTTAGAAGAATTACAATGAATTAGAGTTTTTTTCTTTAATCTGTCATTAAAATTTTTCTTACTTTTTAAATAATGTGTATGTGAAGGAGGCGAATGCATGGGTGTGGGTAGGTATGCCAGTGTGCACATGTAGGGTCAGCGGCTAGCTTACAGGAGTCAGTTTGCTCCTTTCACCATGTGGGTCCTGGACATGCATGCACATACATGTGTGCATTTGAACACACTCACACGCTGATGCCAAATGGCTAGTTAGTAAGTGGTGGAAATAGGATTATAATTGAGCCATCTAGTTCATGTCCACATGGTTAAATTCTGCTATAAATATATTCAGTGACTCCATACAAAAGTGAGGTCCTCAACTATTACATAGACTTACAGGATCCTTGGAGTAAATTCAGCTGACTCCAAAGGCCTCATTTAATATTTCTGCCCATGAGGGGGCATCCTAGGAATCAGGATGGATCAAGAAATGCCAATATTCCAGTTCTGTCTTGTCACTGGACTCATACTCAGGGACAGGCAGTGAGGAAGATAACT